TCAGATACTGAAAGGCTGTTATCAGGTCTCCCTAGAGTCTTCTCCAGGCTGCCTAGCTCTCTCAGCCTGTCCTCATAGGGGAGGGGTTCCATCCCTTGAATCATTTTTGTGGCCCTCTTCTGGGTGTGTTCCAACAGGTCTTTGTCTCTCATGGACTGATGATTCCATACCTGGATGCAGGTCTTCAGGTGTGATCTCTCTAGTGCAGAGTAGAGGTGCAGGATCACTACCCTTGCGCTGCTGGCCACACTTCTTTTAGTGTAGCTCAGGATACATTTGGCTTTCTGGGGTGTGAGGGCACACTACTGGCTACTGTCCAGCTTGCCATCCACCAGTGCTTCCAGGCCCTTTTTGGCGGGGCTGTGCTCAATCTTTTTGTCTCACTCCAATTTAAAGGAAAGAGAGGAGGTTCTTTTAATATATGTATACCCGACAGCGAGATTAAGACACAACAGGTCATATGTTAGCTAGACCAGTTTATTACAAATCCTAATTACTTAAGGATATGGGGAAGGGAAGATGGGCAATAGAAAGGAGATAAGAACAAGGAGTTTTTGCAGAGAGCAAGAGAGAGAGAAGATAGTCACCATTGTGAGTCCAGCTTGGTTTGTAGTCATTTGTGGATCTCAGGAACTCATCCAGTCACCGTGGGGGATGGGAGAGAGCCAAGAAGCTTTGCAGCAGGCAGGCCCTGGGGGATCTCTTCTGAACAGGTTTCTCCCCTCTTTGCCAGTTCTTCTCCAAAGTCCTTAGTTTAGTGATGGCCTTTTATCCCCCATTTCTCAGTTACTCAGTTACTCTCTGTTAGTGTGACAGACCTGGCCAAACAGATAAGCCAGCAGGGAGCGGTGCCTTCATTGCCATGCACAAGCATTATCGCCTTTTGCACTGGTCAGATCCTTCAAGCCACAACCCCGAAAAAGACTGCCCCACTTCTGCTTATCTTTATAATCAGAAGTACTGTGGCACGGTGATACCCATCACTCACCCCCCTCTAGATAATCTGAAAGAGTCAGTTAGACTCTTACCACCAGAAAGGCCTTACAAAGTAAGCTTTGAGGCAGAAAAGAGAAACAGTTTTGTCTTTCAGACCTTTTCATCCCCCAGTAGAAGTGTACAGTGACTCTGAGGTAGAGCAGCACATCACACTGTATGGGCTTAATGCTTAAATGCATTGCTGGCACCAAACTGGCAGCCAGATGTGAAGATTAAATGAACTCAGTCACCAGTGCACTATGATCTCCACCCCTGGCTCAACTTGAGGCCATTACCCCTTCTCCTATGGCTAGTTAGGTGGAAGAAGATGTCAACCCCCATCTCAGTACTACCTCCTTTCAGGTAGTTGTAGAGGGCAGTAAGGTCTCCCCTGAGCCTCCCTTTCTCTAGACTAAACAATCCCAGTTCTCTCAGCTGTTCCTAGTAAGACTTGTGCTCCAGACCCTTTACCAACTTCACTGCCCTTCTTTGGATATGCTCCAGGACCTCAATGTCTTTCTTGTACTTCAGTCTTCAAAACTGAACACAGTGCTTGAGGTGCACCCTTACCAGTGCCAAGTATAGATTGATGAGATGACAAAATTTGAAGTTTATCAGGTCAGTGTAGCAATGCTGGCTGTACTGTTGTCCGAGGACAGGCCATGGGATTCCCAGAGGTATCTTTCAGTTCTCTGTTGGAGTTCTCTCCCACAAAGCTCTGGATTTACTCTCATGTGTCCCTTTAACGTCTTATGTATTATTATGTGGACACTGCCACTTATAGGACTGGGTTCAAAGTACCTGATTCTTGACTACTCCAGCATCCTTCAGCATCCTTCAGTACCTAACAACAGACTGTCATCTAGCACTGACACTTGTGATCTCCCGTCTCACTGCTTCTCCACAGTAACTGATGACTGACTTACAATCAGGGTATCCTCTGTTCTTGTCACAAAGCTGTTATCTTTTTCTGCACTAATGTCAACTAGACACGCTCCCTGACAAGTGCTGCAAAGACAGGAATGTATGATATTCACTCTTAGATTGAAGAACTCCAATCTGATATTTCAAGCATCTTGAATTACAGTTGTAGTGATCAAGTACTGTGTCTGAGATGTGGCATGGTAACTAACGTAGATGTGGCAACATGGAACAGATTCTTACAGTCAAAATGATATCTAGCTATAGTCAGCACTCTTCCTCCCTTGCAGTGATTGACATGTTTGTACACTCTAACTGGGAAAACAGCATGTAATTACAAGTAAAGCTAAAGGATGGTAGGAAATAATGCATTTTAGTTCTTTTTGGTTGTTCACTTTTTCTTCCCAATGGAGAGGCAAAATAGTACTTTTTTTCTAAATAATTTCAATACAAAAAAAAAAAAGTTTTTGCTAATAGTCACTTTGCTTTCTATGTAATAAGAATATTTCTTTACAAAAATCTTTGGCTTTAGGATTTGGAAGGTCATCTGCAAGGGGATTAAATGCAACCTGAAACTCATGGTTTCCTGTAACAGCCAGTTTCATTGCTTTTCTTCTAAAAATTTCAAACTCACCCAGTTTTTTATCTTATTCGCAGTGGCTTGATGCTGAGCAAGAACTGAGAAAAACTTGAATTGTTCAATTTAGAAAATGGTTACATTGTATAAGTAAAAGTTCAGCAAAATGTTAAAGCTATAATGCTCATTCAATTGGGAATGTTGTTACGACAATTTTTTTTGTTTTGTTAACCCCCAAAAACACTCACTATCCCATTGTGCTGTGCTGTGACTCTCTTCAAAAGATATGAAGATCAGTGCCATATATGTTATTTCCATAGATAATTGTAAGCATATTTATATAAAATATAAATTCCCTTTTTGCCTTTATTTGCAAAAATAGTTTTCTAACTCTCTAACTCAGTTTATTTACAATGTGGAGAAATTTAGTTTTGTGCACCTACAAGTCACTTTAAAAAATGATTGCATGGGAAAACAGAATTTTTTTCCTGGTCTGTATTACTGGAAGTTGACTGTTCTTGTTAATATTATTCAGTTAAAATAGACTGATATGTGAATTGTGATGTTGTTCTTCAAATTAAATAATTCTATTTTGGATTTTATGTTGCATTTTCTATAAACGTGCACAAAAAAGGAATGGAATTTGCTCTTTCACAGTAAATGCATTTATCCTGAGGACACCCATTTTTAATCAGAATTTTAAGCTCTTATTTAATTAGGACTTTTAACATTTCAGTAGTCATCTGTAAAGTCTGGTTTCTTTCTGCATTTAACTTTTGCCAGGTGTGCTGTAAAGAAGTATAGAGGTCAGACATCATAATAACTTTGAGAGCTTATTGAGTTACTTAAGACAAGTTTGGTCGTTAGTTTTCAGTCAGAATATTTCAAAAGCAGTACAATCTCCGATGTACTATAGGCATGGGTCACAAAGTTTAAGCCAATGTTGTTCCCAGCTGGCAAGGTCCTATCTCAGCTTGTCCCTTACCCATGCCAAATTTATATGCCTATTTCCTGCTCAAATTAATTTGCATGCACAGTCAGGAGGAGGGACTGCAGAAACCTGGCTTTAAATCAGGTTAAACTACTTTGGAACACAGCCTTGAAAGGAAGGTCTGTTATTGCAGCTGGTTCAGTAGTCAAGCAAGGAGAATATTGAAGTTTCTAATGAGCTTTTTAGGTTTAGTTGTGCAATAACAAGTTCTTCAGTTCTTCCTCCTATGAATTAGTATGCCCGCGAGTCATTAGATTTTCAGTAATGGCTTTGTTTCAGAAAATGTTGTAGGTCTTTTTTTTTTTTTTTTTTTTTTGGTGGGGGTTCTTTGTTTGGAGGAGATTAAATGGTACTTTCTTCCCAGCTACCCATCTGTTCTTATACAGTTAAGCTAAAAAAAAATCACATATTGGTATTCTGAATATTTGCAGACTTTTCATGGGAACTTATTTTAGTGTGGATTATAATACTACTAATCTTTAGTGATACTGGTCCTCAATTTGACAAAATATGCTGGTACTAATATAGATGAATAGGGATTAAGACAAGTCAGATTTTTGGATAGCGTTTAGGTTAGAGACTACTATTGTGTTCACTGTAATCCTTCACAGAAGTACACAGGCTTCTGTTTTGAAAGTATTAGGCAATGAAGTAACTGCCTCATCTGGTTCTTATTTATACTGATTAATAACCCACTGCAGTTATTATTTTTTTAATCTACTTCCTAATTTTCATTTAATGTTGATTTGCCTTCCAGTCCATTGTATTGCTACTTCTGCCACGCAAAATTGAGAAATCCTGTAGTTCCCTGTATATTCCCTGTAGAGCAAAAGTCTTCCTCAGTTGTCTTTTTGATAATGTTTTCTTTTTAGAGCATTTTCTTTGTCTCTCTTAACTTTTTTGTGTTGAATCCAGATTCCAGTTGTTTCTTTTCAAATGTCAGTGTCAAAATTCTTGCTGCTCTTCTACTACTTACCTACTTCTGTATGGTTTTGTTGGCAATGAGTTCCTTCTTCTCATAGTTACAACTACACAGGTTGATGTAATGCTTTCTACTGAAGGTTATTTGAGTTCTTTTTCGCTGTGACTCTTTACGTGCTTTTTAGAGTCTTTCCAGATTATATCCCTTCATTCTGTAGTCTGTTGGTTTAGCTTTAAATTTCATATAGACTTTTTAATAAAATTTAGGAAAACAGAAAAGGAAAAGATTTGAATGTTGACCGGTTATCTACAAGTGTGGGGAAGACAATGCTTACTGCTGAGTTGTCCCCAAAGTGACAAAATTCACATACCTAAGTGAGATGTTTCTATGTATGTAAATAAAAGAATGTAAGATAATACTAAGATTAAAAAAACTAGCATTTGCAGTATGCTAGTATGAGAAAAGCCTTTTAGCGAACACCAACGTTGATACTAGCTGATTTTATGGTCCAAATAGGGTAACAAAACCCCCAAGTTGCTGTGCTATAATAAGTGCCAAAATAATAAAATAAATAGATGCACTAATCTTACAATTTTGCTTTTAATTTTACTCAGAGATCACGATGCAGACGTCAGAAGCTGGGTCGGATACAGGTTCAACTGTGACTTTACAGACATCTGTGGCTGGCCAGGCAGCAGTGCCCACGCAGGTAGTACAGCAAGTACCAGTTCAGCAACAGGTAGGTGGCTGTGAGCTTTGAGAAGATTGAAAAAAAATCAGGAGGGGTAGTTCTTCACAGTGTAGTGTAGAACATGATATTGTAGGCTGCTAAATGAACTGTTTTGCTCCACTTTAATAATTTTATTTTGCTGAAATTAAAATAGCTACCTAGGAAGGCAAGCTGTTTTCTGAGTCTGTTCTTTATGCTAATGCATCCAAAAAGCACTAGTAATACTCGATGTGATTCTGGCAGTAGATTATTGTATACTTCATGGAGTAACTCACAGAAATTAAATTTATATTACTGAATATTTACACTTGTGTCTTTACATAATATATTTATGATACTGCTTCTTGTATGATTTCTTCTTTAATTCTCAGTTCCAAGCAAGTGCAATATAAATGTAAAAAATGCATCTCTAGGCTTGATTCACTGCAGATCTTTACACATTGTCATACCTCACACCTTGTATCATGAAAAACTGTTTTCTTCTATCCGACCTAAGTCTCCCCTTTTTCAGTTTGAAACCATTTCTCTTTGTCTTATCACAACAGACCTTGCGAAAGAATCTGTCCTCCTCTTTCTTGTTGCTCCCCATAGATACTGAAGGGCTATTACCAAGTCTACCTGGAGCCTTCTCCAGGCTGAACAGCCCCAGCTCTCTCAGCCCTGTCCTCTTAGGGGAGGGGTTCCATCCCTTGAATCATTTTTGTGGCCCTCTTCTGGATGTGTTCCAACAGGTCTTTGTCGCTCATGGACTGGTGATTCCACACCTGGATGCAGATCTCCAGGTGTGATCTCACCAGCACAGAATAGAGATAAAGGATCACCTCCCTTGCCCTGCTGGCCATGCTTCTTTTAGTGTAGCTCAAGACACATTTGGCTTTCTGGGGTGTGAGGGCACACTACTGGCTGGTGTCCAGCTTGCCATTCACCAGTGCCCCCAGGCCCTTTTTGGTGGGGCTGTGCTCCATCCTTACATCCCCCAGCTTGTAGTGATAGTGGGCGTTGCTGCAACCCAGGTGCAAGACCCTGCACATTGTTGAACCTCATGAGCTTCACCGGGGCCCACTGCCAAAGCCTATCTAGGTCTGGATGGCATCCCATCTGTCAGACATGTCAACCACACCACACAGTTTGGTATCATCTGCAAACTTGCTGAAGGTACAGTCAATCCCCCTGTCGATGTCATTGATGAATTTAATAAAGGGAATTGGTACTGACTCCTGAGGACACCGCTCTTCAAATAACGCTATATACATCTGTGCTGTTTTAGCAAATATAAAATTTTGGCTCAGAATAAGAGGCAACTGCATAAGGATGGAATAAGAGCATTTCCCCTCTACAGCTGTATTTAAGCCTCATGTCTTTTGAGCAAAAGAGTACCTCCTGATATTTTCAGCTAAAACAAATCCCTAATTTTCACATAGCTTGTACAAATATGGATCTCATAAAACTCTACTATGGAACTCCAAAACAGAAAAAAATCAAAGATGGAAAAAAAAGATGAAAAAAAAAAGATGAAAGAAAAAATAATAATAATCCAAAGGCAGTTAAATTAATTTAACTTTCCTGGAAACTTTTTTTCCCAAAATGAAGTAAAATAGGAAATAAAAATGGAATTTAAGTTACTGTATAACAACAATTTTCAGCTCCATAGAACTTCCATACACAAATTTATTCTAAAGGTGACTTACTTGTCGTTCCTTGTCAGGAAAAGTATTTTAAAACCTTAAAAAGGTAGAGAAAGTCATAGGTATATACTCTGCAAAACAGTGTGGTCACTAAAGCTTCCTTTGGCATCAGAGTCAATCAGCTTGAGCAGTACTGAGTTTCAGAGAAACTGAAGCATCCAAGAGTATTACATTCTTATAACAAGAATATAATAGCTTGTACAGAATGGCAATATGACCTGCATTTGCTGACAGGAAGTATGCAGGTTATGGGGAGGAAATAAATTCCTTTTATTAATAAAACACAGTAGTGTTGTGTTGGTTTTTTTCATAGGGAGTAAGCCACTTTCAGTGCTTTATGAGCAGGGAGTGAAGTGCTTTTTGGGAGAGGTTGAATGGAAACATTTTAATAATGGCATAATTTCACATTTCCCCAGCTTTACTACTGGGACAGAAAATGGAACAAATCCATTACATAACAAGTGACAAATTACTGGCTCTATGAACAAAGCCTGCTTAAAGATATTTTCTCCATATATGGGTTAGGAAGATCAGTTCAGTGCCCTGATCACTCTTCCATTAATTACAGGCTATTGTAGAACTAGAGATACTTTTAGAGTTAGGCTTTGAAACCACTGTGATCTTTGGCACGTATGTTTCGCAGTGAAGCACATAAACATTTTGCCTTAGTATTTAGAAATATTCTTACAGCCCTCTTTTTGAAGTGGAGAATTTGTATTTCATGTTTATATATATGCCAATTATGTAATTATGTAATTATATAATGATTTATGTGACAAATCAGAAAGCTGTAACTGCAAATAGATAATTTAAGTATCATACAGTGTGTCAACATTTCTATCATGTGGTAAAGTTGGTTTCAAAACACTGTTAATTTTCTGAATTCGTATTTTAATACTGAACTAAGAAAAACTTCCTGTGAAAATTTAGATTTTCCTTTCACAATCTGAGTCAATACTGTAATAGGCTATGAAATTTATGATTATTTTAAAACTCTTTAGATTATTGTGGAGTTAAGATATTAAAATGAAGATATTCTTAATGAGCTTTGGGAGATGATCCATCAAATGTTTGAGACTCAAATATGTCTGATTATTGCAATTCTCAGGAGCAACTGGGTCATGAAGAAGATGCTACCTAGCAAAACATCTGAGAAAATCAGCAGTCATTTAGTTTACGCTAAATCTATTGCATAAACATGCACACTGTCTCTTGCTTTATTTAGTTCCTACTGCAAGGTTTGCTCGTCTATGAAGTCTTTCAGTCATTTTACTTTCTTTAGATTCTGGACTGCACCTGAGCTAAAATACAGCTTATCTCAACAACAGCTCATGTAAAATATGGATTTCTTAATCTCTGCTATAGCAGAAGACAAAAAATTAAGACTGGACAGGAAATATGCATAACCTGAAGCTGCTTTACATAGCATACGAGTCCAAGGAATTGTCCAATGATATGTTTTAACAAGGCAGACATGCTATCTTAGCAATATAGATGAAAATAATAATATCTTATTACTTCTTTTTGTTTATCTCATTAACATTAGAAACAGCTTACCTTGGAATGTGTTGTAGCTGCTGATATTCTGGAAGAAGAGTTACTCAGAATGAGGTTTTTGATTCATTGGCGTACCTTTAAGTCAAAACATTAATCGAAAAAGCCTTTTACCTCTGTAATTTAACTCCAATTAAACAGATGCGAAAATGTTTTGATCTAAACCTTTATTTCTGAATTTAGTGCAGCACACCATAGCTGTGTGTTTTTGCACGTTAAGCTGTATATTAAAATTTGTATTGTTCAGATTTAAATGGAATAAGGAAAAGCATATGTGTGGACAAAGGATACTTTTTAGTAAATATAATTCCTTATTGCAAAGCATAATTATGATTTATTTTATCCTTTTATGTTTTTTAGTTAGTTCTGTCTTTAGCAGTGAAGTATGCGTGTTGCATGAACGTACATTTTCAATGTTAAGATTTTTCTTACTAGATTTAAAATATAAGTATTTTGTAAAAACAATATTCTTCTGCATTATTACTATGTCACCAGCTTTAGTAATTTCGAGAACAGTGACGTCCCATATTGTTTAGAAGCCAGGAAATTCACTGAGGCTTTGTTCCTTCCTTTTATCACAGTATCTTTATTTTATGATGCTCTTGTTTTCAGGTGCAGCAAGTGCAAACTGTACAGCAAGTACAGCATGTCTACCCAACCCAGGTTCAGTATGTGGAAGGAAGCGACACAGTCTACACTAATGGAGCTATGTAAGTTGGCAAATGATTAGCATTTGAATGTTTACTAAAATGTAAAGTTAAATATATATTGTCAGATTCTTTCAACACCTGTATTTTAAGCTGGAAAGAAAAATGATTGAGTCAAAATTATCATTATTTGAAAGCTAAATTCAGTTTATTAAGATATAAGTGTTGTGTTTTGGTCGGTCTTAAATGAAGTTACCTATCCAGCATGGTGCTGTTTGAAGAAGCACCTTTTAGGTCTATGAGTAAGTTTTGCTATTAACTTTATTATAGCATTACCATCTTTGTAAAAAAAAAAGATCTCTTCCCATAGGCTTTCTGTCTTCTTGGGTGCAGTTCTAGTGGTAAATACATAAAATCCTGCAATGGCTGGATTTTTGTTAGCAGAAGTAGTAATGTAATTTAATTCCTTTATTTAATAAAACAATAAAAATATTTTTTCCAGAGGAATAGGAGAGGCAGAGGAAGGAGGGTAACACTATTTTGTTTTGCTGATTCTTAAGCCTTTTTTCTGGCTATTATTGTATGTTTCCTTTTCACCTAAACATGCTTTTCCACCATCAAGTTATTTTCACCAACATGCAAGTTCAGATACATAGAATGAATAATCTGTGGGACCATTGGAGGTCATCTAATTTCATCGCTGGCTTGAAGCAGGACAACATGAGACAGCAGTGTGTGCTTGAAGCCCAGAAGGTTAATTTTATCCTGGGTTGCACTGAAAGAGGGGAGGCCAGCAGGATGAGGGAGGTCATTGTCTCCCTCTTCTCTGCCCCATCTGGAGTACTGCACTCAGCCCTGGGGCCTCCAACACAGAAATGATGTGGAGCTGTTTTAATGGTCCAGATGAGGCCCATGAGGATGATCAGGGGGCTGGAGCTCCTCTCCTCGGAAGAAAAGTTGAAGGAAATGGGCTTGTTTAGCATAAAGGAGGCTCAGGGAAGATCTCATTGCTGCCTTCCAGTTCTTAAGAGATGATTATCAGAATCTGACTTTTTACACATTGTGACAGTGATAGAATAAGGAGGAATGGTTTTAAAGAGGAAAGATAAAGATCAGTTGTTAAGAAGAAATTTTTCACCCAGTGAATGGTGAGAGATTGGAACTGGTTACCCAAAGAAGCTATAGATGTCCCATCCCTTTGGGTGTTTAAGGCCAGATTGGATGGGACCTGGGCAGCCTGATCTGGTGGGTGGCAAACCTGCTCATGTCAAGGGAGTTAGAACTGGATGATCTTTAAGGTCTCCTCCCACCTAAGCCATTGAAACACATATCTAAGAAAAATACAAGATGAGTGGGTGGCTGGGAAAAATAAGTCTTACAAACTATGAATGGATAAACAGCCCTAACATACTGTTTGCATACAGGAGGCTATACATTTATACTGATGCTTCTGATACAGCTGCTAACCATTTCTTCTCTGTGCTTAAAACTGTGCTTCAAAAATAGGTAGAAATAGGAACTTGATTCTATAACGTAGCTTATACTTCTTGAATGAGTTAATTATTTTTAAGTGATGATTGTCATGTTTCTGAAAGTGTTACCATTTGTTTTCCATGAATTAAAGATAAATATTTTCCAATACTAGCAAGCTTTCATTAAGTTAATATTTAATGTGGAAAAAGTTTTCTGAAAAAAGAATTGATGCCAACATTTCCTCTTTCCTAGATGACAAAGGGTAATTTGAAAACTAATTATGAATATTATATGGTGGACCCTTTTATGTTATGCTGAATGTCATTGCCTCAGTAAGCATCTTCCCCTGAAATTAATAAACCCTCAGAGGATGAAGTAATTATGGTCCTTCATAAGAATTTTTATAAAGAATGAATCCTCTACACTGTTGTTCCTGTTTAAACAGAAGAGTTCGAACTTCTAGAATATCCAGTTCTGGATTTGAGGTAGTCCATGGTCTCCAGCTTGTCCCAGATATAGCACATAGGGGTTGTCAGCATTTGTTGTTCTGTGTGTAGTCTGTAGCTTTCCATTTGCAATTAGTACATGCAAGCTTCTCTTGTCAGTTAGCACTTGTAAGTTCTCACGTGAGCTGATAGTAAGCGCACTTCTCGCAATGTGAGTTGGGTACTACGTGAATGCTTACAGTCCTTAATTAAAAGAGAACCAAATATTACTTGTTACTGTTAGAATAAATCTACAGTAATCCATGTTTTTTTTGTGTTTCTGTATGTGAAAATATTTGTTAGTTTCTGTAGAACTAGTTAATGGGATATAGCACTTAGCTAGTGATCACTTAACAAGTGAGCCTAATCCAGATTGTCTTTTCCTCATATAAAAGGAGAATTTGCCAATGATAAAATTTATTTTTCAAAATTTTTAGGAACATTAACCTTTCTGGAGATTTATTTTTCCATTGAGAATGTAACTGATCTTTGTTTTTACTCAGAATTTGTAAAGGCTGTCTTGTGAAATTAATTTTCCTTTATAATTCCATACTTCAGATTAAGAATGGCAAATGTTACTTCTGTAAATGGAAGTTACTGAACTTATGCACAAAATGTTATAAAGGAACAGGGTTCTGGGTTACCACTGGCTAACTTCCTTAAGAGAATAGAGAATTGGTTTTCTATTTGCCGTTTTTATGATTACCTAAGTTACATGGTTTAAAAAATATGTACTTTTTTCTTGTTTTGCCACTGAATTTGTTTGTTTAGAGCTACATCAATGTGGGATTGACATTTTAAAACTTCTGAAAGTGAACCAAAATCTCACAACATCCCTAAACAAATCTGACACAGCTGTGTTGAGTTCTGCTGTGACAGAAAACACAGAGGCCAACCTCTCATGCTAAAAATATTTAGGCAAGTGTTTAGACTGCAGTACATCTTTTTCTATCCATCCTACTGAAATGTGTGAACAATAAGCTTTTTGGATTCTGACAAATTCATATAACTATGTTAAAGCCAATTTGTCAACATACTCCTACTCTGAGATGTCTGTTGCACTTTAAGCAAACAGTTAGGTTTGTAGATGATGTGATTGACAGGAGTGATCACTACTTTGTCTTTTGGGTTGTTTTTCTATGATTATATATTTGATTTATTTTATGACTATGCTAAATCAAAATCTGAATTGTAACTCAAATCAGACAAAGGATATATTGCATAATCTACTCTCATGATCTCATGATCTCATGATGAAACTCATGATCTGCAACTGATAGTTAAGGTGAAAACATTAATTAATACAGAATACAGTTTTACTGGAATAAAAGTTCCAGTATGTCCGATGAGTTTCCCTTTGTTACAAAATAAAGTACATATAAACTAGCATGAACCCATATACAGTAGCAACAAAGGATGCACTTTAAATATTTAGGAAGAATGCCTGAATCAGTTACCTGATTCTTTATTCTAATGGAAGTTTGTTGGGTTTCACTTCATGTTATTTGGTTTTACTGTATTTGTGGGGATAATGATGTTGCAGGGGTTGTACTGTGAAGCTTATCACTTACTTGAGAATATTTGATGTTATCTACAGTTGTTTATGGTTAATAACACATTTGCTTGTCATGCACATCACTTTACCTTGAAGCTAAAATGAATTGTTGTTGCATTAATATGTGCAGGTTTGTCTGAGTAGATACAGATAAAAAATACTGTGGTTGCGCCTGTGTTAAGAAGCCAAGCAAGGCCCATGATCTAGACAAGAACTTTTTCTTACTTAAACTGTAGTGTTTAATAATATACGTAACGTGATTAGTCTCAAAATTGATATTTTTTCTACTAATTCTCGTGTAACAAAGAGAGTTTAGTTGTTGAGATTGCCTAAGAATTGATGCTGTTGAATCCAAACTGTAGCCTTTATTCCTCACATTATTCACTAATTTATGGTACTACGATTTGTATAGCTAATGTGGACCAAACACACCTTTACTGCAAAACCAACAATTTACTGTTTCTCTAGTTGAAGTCTTTTATCTGTCTGATAGAAGGGTTATTATGAGTACAATTCAAATTGTTATGTTCCTGGAATCTTTCCAGTACTTGCTAGCATCTTTTCTTTTTTCTCTGATGTTATGCTTACCATTTGACTAACCCTATGCGTACTCACGTCAATGGCTTCCATGTAAGGAAAAATTATAGCAAGTTATGACTGTCACAGTTCTATGCCTAGAGAGGTATGATCAATGGTGGAGTTTTTCTACTAATACTAGATACTCTCGCAGCAATTCTGTATGTGTTTTCTACAGGAAAGACAGTCATTCTTCTGTGGTTTCCATTTCTGGTTTGCATCTTAATTTACCAGATATTATGTGTTTTACATTTGCTGAATACAGTCTCATACACATAGTGCTCTTTGCTATATTTTGATTCTACGGTCATGGATTGTTTATTCTACACAGAACAGCTATTTTATGTTACTGCCTATTATTTAGAGAAATGCATCAGTGCTGGTATAACAATAGTTTCTATACCGCATGTGTACTAAGCTAAAATAAAACTGAAATAGGTTACATAGCGTTTCCCAGATTATAAATGTTACAGCTAAGTTAGAACAAAGGTCTAGGCCAGCATAGATACGTCCAGATAGAAGATGTCTGACAAGCCAAAGTCTTGAGGTCTAGTAGATTTAGTACAAACACTGTTCCTAACATTGGCAACACCATATTTCTTGGATTCTAGGACAGTTGTACTTCACCACCAGAATTTTTAGATGACTGCAAACTAACAGCCCTTATCTTTCTAAATTACTGATCATGAGAATACCACTTGCAAGAATTCTCCAATGTTTTCATTTACTTCATTCTCTGGTTTATAGATTTTCCTACAGTTATGCATTGTGTGCACTTTTATGATTTTATTTTCATGCGGAAAAAGATCTTGGACTGACTGTGAAAGATCTCAATAATTGGTAATCAGCGTCTGTCAGTAACATATTTACATTTTGATTGTGACTGCAAAACTATCAGTGAGTAAGAACTAATGTGAAGTTCCTTATGTTGAATAATACAGCTCTATTTTAAGTAAATTTTATAAAGCTGAATC